CCGACGGATAAGGGTATTAAATAAACAGCAACGAGCACCAGACTAGCCGGTGTGATCATGCGTTTTTTGTGATTCAGTCCATCGAACGATTGCCTACTAATGATTTTTACTGCGTTGTACTTTAGTCTATGCAGAAATAGTTGAAACATTGAAAAATATTTAGAAATTTCACGCGCATGCGCATGAAAGCTGAATTCGAAATATTGAAGGGTGAATATCTTTCCGTGATTCTCGAGTTAACAGTGTACCCGCCAAAATTTTCACGAGGTTGTAAGTGATGCCTGAGAGCGCGGGAACGCTGAACTGGAATAGGCAAGGTTGAGCGTGGGCAGGGGGTCACTACCCTAAAATTTCAGCTTTATAGAATTTGTGATTCTCGAGATAATAATTTACCCGCAAAACTTCCACGAGTCCGTAGGTGATACCAGAGAGCGCGGGAACGCTGAATTTGAATAGGCAAGGTTTAGGGTGGGCAGGGAGTCATTACTCCAAAATTTCAGCTTCCTCGACTCCGTGGTTCCCGAGATAATAATTTGCCCGTCAAAAATTTTCATCGGACAGTACTTGTTACCCGCGGGCAAGGGAAAGCTGAATTTAAATTTTCTGTGTAGTACATGGGCGTGGGACATGCTCACAAAATTTCAGCCTTCTACCTTCCATGGTTTTACCCGAAAAACTTTTACGGGGCCGTACGTGTTACCCGCGGGTACGGGAACGCTGAATTTAAATCTGCCGCGCCATCCGTTGGCGGGGAACACTATACTAAAATTTCAGTCGCCTAACTTTTGTGGTTCCCAAGTTGAAAGTGCGAGACAAAATGCGGGACACACACATACACAGACAATCCCGTGACAATATGGGTTTTGTACCGCTGCTACACAGCACAAAAAAATAACTGAATAAAAAACAATAAATTTTAGGTACGTGCTGAAAAACTGGTAGTCTTGGGCTGTGCGTTCCTCCATCTCTCCTTCAAAAGTAATGCAAATTAATGTGCCAGTCCCACACTATATTTTTTCATCTGAACGTATGTTGAAGAAAAAGCGAATCGTACCAAAATCATGGCACGAGGCTGTTGTGGGTGTGCCTCTTCAAACATCATTGAATGATCAAAGAAACCAAAGATTAACCGGTGAGCTCGTTTGATTCGTTCGCAAAGCACCTTGCAAATTTCGTTGCTCACTTCAGAACTATCGATAATCGAGACGAAAAATTGATTTTCAATGTAAATGCAATGACGCGCATTTGCAATAAGAGAAAGATAGGCCTAAAATTGCACGGTTATATACATTATTTAGGGATGAGATGGACAGAAAACAATTAAAAACGGTGCAACAATATCAAATAGTTATAAAATAAGGCATAATTCGTAATGCCATGCTCGCAGGAAGAGGCACTTAAACTATACTTTATTGTGACTGCATGCCGTAGAGATA